TTCCGCTGCACTTACGTTTATATTATTAATCCTGCAAAAATCGGTAAACATTCTCNGACAAGGAGTTAGTGAGGAAAATCCTGCGAAGTCTTACCAAGGAATGGGAGTCAAAGGTAAACTCCATTTACGAAGGCCGGGATTACAACGTCATCACATACGACGGTCTTCGAGGTAACCTTATCACTTACGAAACAAATCATCTTTCTCATACTCTTGATGTTAAGAAGAGAACGGGAATTGCTTTTAAAGCATCTTCTTCTCAAAAAGTAGAGATTAATGATTCGGATTCGGATAGTGATAGTGATAACGATTCTAGCACTTCTTGTGATATTTTGGTTGAATGTTTTAACGAGTTTTTGAAACATGAGCTAAACAAGAGCAAGAAGAAAAACACCCCAAGGTGTCATCAGTGCGGAAAGCTTGGCCACCGAAAATTTAAGTGCCCGAAGCTCAAGAAAATGAGCAAACAAGATGAATTTGCTTATTTTTCGTGGAAGTATGATGAACCTTCCAAAGACGATTGCCTCACTGCTCTTGAAGAACAAGATGGGTGGTCGGGCACGTGATGCACATGAAAGGCGTGCTTGAAGACTACAAATTTGTAGTGGATGCTCCAAGCACTTAGCCAAAGAGATTGCATCAAAGGGGAGTAAATTTTTTTAATTAAATGTTATTTTTGAGATTTATTTGTGATAATTGTTATTTGGGGAATATACATAGGATGTTTTGCATATAGTAAGGGGGAATTTATTGCTATATGTGTTAATCTTTTTGTATGCTTTAATTTTTAAAGGGGAGGTAGCATACTTTAAGGGGGGAAGTATTTTATTTCCTAGAAATGCATGATTTTAGGGGGAATGTGATTTTTCTTAATTGTTTAGAATTTTTTTTCTCTCCCCGGAATGCATGAGTTCTTTTGTTGCATTATTTTTGATAATGCCAAAAGGGGGAAGAGTATAGGAGTATATGCTTTAATTTGTTATTTGTTGATAGCATATCCTCCATGTGTTTGTCATTATCAAAAAGGGGGAAATTGTTGGAATGCATGCGTTCAACCTTTTCTGTGTTGTTAAGTGTTGACTCACAGGTTTTGATAATTGACAAACACAATTTATTCAAGTCAAGATCAAAGTGCTACAACGACAAACACGAAGACTTGAAGTGTCATTCCTTGAAATATTCAAGAAGGTGCACATGATTTTATTGGAGTCCGAGACGCGTTCGGAGCGCCTAACGGAGGACTCGGAGGAGTAGAAGATTTCCGAAGACTTTTTATTTATTTGAGTCGTAGGAATATTTGTAAGGATGACAAAAATATCTTCTCTCCAAAATTATTTTTATGAGAGTTAAAATAAAAATTATATTTATTTTTGGAGTCAGTTGAAAAATCATTTTAACTGTTCAAAATAGTTTTATCGAGTCAGTCACAAAAGGTGTGCCAAACATTTATCAAATATTTATTTTGATATTTTTGGTAAGCAAAAATATTTTATTCAAAGATTTTTTCTTGTACATCGTTTGACACACAAAATATTTTTGGGACTCAATTTCTACACCAAAATTCAAATATTTAATTCAAATTTTGAATTTGAATTAATTTCTTTAACCCATTTATATTGTTTGTTTTTGGGAGCCTTATATTATTCAAATTGTTGTCTAAAACAAAGCATTTAAATCCAAATATCCATCCCACTCGCACACATGCTTTGGGTCCTCGTGTTTGGGCTCTGTCCGTCATTGGATCGATCCTTTCTTGTGGATCGATCATATTGCTTTGCGCTCAGGGTTTGGGATCGATCCATCTCCCTGGATCGATCCGCCGAAGGCTTGCGAAAATCCGTCTCATGGTTTTTGGTTCCAGAGGATCGATCCCCAGCCTTGGATCGATCCCCCGAAGCTTTGACAGAAATTTATTTTCGTTGGCTTACTCCAGGTGATCGATCCTAAGCCTTGGATTGATCTCCAACGGTCCAATTCTGTCAAAATCAGCCTTCCCCACTTCCAACGGATTTATTTCTTTTTCATCTATTTAAACACTCTTCATTGGTCTGTTTTAATGACAAGAAACACTCCAATACTCCCCATTCTTGAAGTTTTTATCCTCCATCAATCTTTCCTCAAATTTATATTATTTTGAGAGAAAACTAAGTGTTTTCAAGAGAGTGTTTTGTCATCCATTAGAGCTTTAATCATTTCTCTTATCTACTCTTTTGAGAGCTATTGTTGAGAGGTTGAAGAAGATTGTTCTTCTTGTTGTTCAAGGCTTATGTGATTTAAGTCTTGGTTGTGAAGTCTTGTA